CAGGTTGTGTCAAAAAAGGAAAAAGACCTGGAGTAACGATTTTTTTCTTACAAAGCAATTAAATTTGACACACCAACGAAACATATGTTAAACGAGCATGTTCTTCCACTCATTTGAAAAAAAAAATAAAATAATTACGGAAATTGATCCAAGCTATGAGAAGCTACGCATATTTTACTAAAATAATTCATTTTTACAGCTGTCAATGGAATACCATTTAAAGGTATTGTGGGTAGTGAGAACCGGGGATTCAGATACAAAGGAGAATTTTATAATTGTTGTTACGAGTGAAACATTAATTTTTACTGCCAGATTTTGTGTTTTGAATATAAGGATTTTTTCTCTGAAATAATGATTGTGATTTTTGCCTGTTTTGCTATGCAACTTTTCTTGTTCATTCATGAAGCCCTTGTTTTATTGTATTCATACGGTAAATGGTCGTTGGGGACGGCTGAATTTTGTGATGTTGGTGTTAAAATAGACATAACTTGACTACATAGTACGCAAATTACGTGACATATTCACACTTACTTAGTCAATGATATATACTTGATCCCTATGTTATTTTTGGTTAAATGGAGCGAGAGACTTATTTTTTTAAAATATGATTTCTAATCAGGTCACTTAATTTTTGACTCACCCTGTATTCTGAAATTGATTGTAATTTGATGAGTTCAGAATTGTTACTTGAACTATACGTCGCTGACCGTATACGTCGCTGACCGTATATCCTCGGTGCAATGAATGAATTATTCAACACCACGTACTGCCCAGGCTGCTAGGCTCGACGGACACGTCATGAGCCGAATAGTACGTGTTGGAAACATGTTATTCTGCCTTGAATTAATTGCAGAGGAGATCGCTTCATTAAAACTTGATCACGGTGAAGGTGAAGTTCGCAGTGTAAGCTAGTGTAATGCATAGGCAGAATAGTAGACATTTGGAACATCTTAATCTTCTATGAATTATAGAGGGATTGCTTAATTACAGCGTATTCGATGTTTTGACACAGTTGAAGTTCGCAGTATGTTATAGTCAAAAGCAGGTGCGCAGTGTTGTAGCACACGTACTCGGTACTCGTGCTCGAGTACTACTCGTGTACTTTTTTTAAATTTTTTTTTTTAGAGTACTCGTACTCGTACTCGCATGTCAAAGTACTCGTACTTGAATGACGGTACTTGTACTTGGGCAGCAAAGTACTCGTACTTGATATGTCAAAATTGTACTCGATCATCAAAGTACTCGTACTCGAATAGCAGTACTCGGGGAAAAAATGGAATAGTTTGACTTATCGCGGCCATATTTTATCGAAACTTTCAGTTTGAAATGGTTGATTGGCTTGCGGATCGGAGAAATCGAAGTTTCCTGATTTTTCTCTGTGCACGTCCAGACAAACATATTAATCAACTAGCCGTGAGTGGGTCTGTATATCGGTCTGACTGGGCCTGGGCCAATTACACACAATGAACCATTTGCCGTATGGCCGTATTCGGGAAAAGAAGTATACTCGTACTCGGAAGTACAAGTACTCGTACATGGAAATAAAAGTACTCGTATGTACTTTTACTCGTACTTGGAAGTACAAGAACTCGTACTCGGAGACCGGTTTTTGTACTCAGAAGTGCAAGTACTCGTACTCGTACTCGGAAGTATACTCGTACTCGGAGACCAGTTCTTGTACTCGGAAGTACAAGTACTCGTACTCGTACTCGGTAACCTAAGTACTCGGCAGTACTCGGTACTCGTAAAACAAATACTCGACTACAACACTGAGGTGCGCAGTGTAAGTAAGTATAAGTGCAAACGTTAATCTGCCATGAAATGGAGAGGGACTACCTCATCATGCTTTGCTTGATAGATGCAAGTGAAGGTTATGGTATAGTTATAATATACACCAGTTACTATTCTATGGTGATATAGTCGGTAGGTTATAATTTGGCTAGATAATAATGCCGCACTAATCGTCTAGATGTGTGACCAACTCCAGCATTAGCAAGCAACGAGACGCGTTAAATGTCTACTGTAAAGGTCGATAATGGAAAATATATGCACATACGTCCTAGACACGCCGACGCAGTTTTATTTTTGTATTAATATTGTACCCGCACAGTCCACTGTCCTGTAATTGAACAAAACATACTATGTAAAAAATTCAGCAAGTGTTGTTTTACGATCCCACGTTAGACGTATGTAGGCAACTTCGGTACTCAATATGCATGAGCATGTGAACAAAAATATTGTGACTAGTACATGAACTCAGTATATAAATGTACGCAGGTGTATGGAGCAATCGTAACTAATTCAGCAAATTGTTTTCATGAATTGAAAATCGAGTGAAATAAAGTGCGCTCCTAAAGTCGAAACAAACATACAGCATGCAAAACTTGCTGTAGTCCATGGTGTTCACTATAATAACTTTGCTGTTTATATAACGGTGGTAACAAGTTTTAATTTGCATGCATAATAATAATCATAATAATATAATAATAATAATAAATATTACCCTGGATTGGACATTTGGGAGACATCCCCATAGACTTGTGCACAACATTTTCCAAACTTAAATGAGCCCTAACCCAATATTCCCTTGTCCTTTTCCCACGAATTTCGGTATATTTACTAATTAGACCACGAGCAACAAATATAACCTAACGACAATAAAATTGTGCCTCTAAAGGGGGGCTGTGACATAAGGGAGACATGCAAATGTCTCCCTGATTACCGATATCTCCCATCGTGCGAAGAAATTACGATATCGTGGCTCCTTAATGGTACCATTACACATTTAATAGCAAAGTTTTAAAGTTCTATTTCATATAGATCACAGCGCTGTGACAAGCATCAAACCTCATCAGACAGAACATTCCAGAAAAAGGATGTTCTAACATCAATGATCACGAATACTACAAAAAATGAAAAAAAGTGTTTCTTTAAGCCCTTCCCAAATGATTGAATGGTGTCTAACAGTTTGTTTTGAGATGGCAATATTGTTTATCCCCGGCGTGAAAACTTGGAACGAAACTACGAAGCAACAAAGAAATGTTTTCAGAGTTTAAGGATATTAAGTTCTTTTACTGTCCTTAAAGTGACAGTAGTTTGGTCTGCGCTTTCTATTAAAAAGAAAAAGAAAAAAAGTCAGGACTACCGCGCAACATTGTGAATTGATCCCCTCTCATCCGATTTGGTCGGCCGTAGGTATTAAAACCGTTTAAGTGCTATTTAGGTTGGGTCCCTTGATTCCCCGAAAGTAAATACTCTAATCCTCCCTACAAAAGACCTGTCCGTGCCGGGTACGATGCCAAAAGCCGTTGCGGATCGATACTGTTTTGTTCAGATGCATGTGAATTTATACAAGGAGAACTGGGCTGCCAAATATCTAGGATGCCAGATCCATACTAGCGGGGTAATACTCAATTTAAAAATCTTCTGTCCGATTTGATTGGATACGAGTCATTCTGCATCCTATCGAACCGTGATTCTTATGTCACTGTAGATTTGCCTACTTGCTAGGCTGAGTACATGTATACTTTTTGAAAAGTGCATTCATCTTTGATATGCTAAAGTATCACTCTTTCGATTGACAGATGTGACGACCCCATTACAAAATCAATATTTCTGTCTTGTAGTTAGAATCGACAAAGGGATCTATATGGACAGGACAATCGACTGTGAATTTACCTCCGAATGAGGTTAGAATTTGTTGATACAATCGTCACGCACAGGTGTAGACAAATTAAAGTGGACATACTTGAGTTTCTTCGAAACAACTTTAAACCGTCGACGATGACACTACATATCTCTTCGAATATCTTTACATATCTCTTCTGAGACTAAGGCCTGTCTAGAGAGCTGCACTGTTTGTCATGTCCATAATATCATTAATTTATTGAACATTTCTTGAGCAAACGTATTGTCAAACTGAGGAGCCCGGCCCACAGAGAGCTGGATAGCTCAGTTGGTATAGGACACCGTTGGGGTTTTTCGGAAGTCGCATATATCGGGCAGCAGAGGAGGTCGCATATAGTCGCATATTTACTGTGACCATACAGTCAATTACTTCCTTCAATTTCATGTTTACAATAGTTGCTTCCGGAGTCCTATATTGGAACAGTGCTGACATGACACGTCAACGAACTTCTGTGTTGCTATGTGTGTTTTAGCATAATGGAGTTTCTAATTGGTCATAACTTTTCCCGCCATGAATATTTAAAAAAAAAATGAATCATTTACATCTTGTGTTAAGTACAAAAACAAAATCTTCATCATTCCTGTGATACGGACGCTAACGCGATCAGTCGTATGTAGTAATGACATCACAGACGCCATGCGTGATATACGACTTGGCACCCAGTTTACTGACATCGAAACAGATGTGACCACATCCGGGCCTTTTGAACAGCGACAAATCATTCCAATGTAATATCAGTAAGGGTCTTGTCATTCTGTATACATGTGTCATTTCATAAATGCAGGATCCAAAAGTGTAACATTTTGTTTTGTCCCTGTTACACCTGACCTGTGTAATTTGCCATTCTTGAATTACAAAATATTATACATGTCAGATGTAGCAGGGACACTGAAAATTGGATCCCAAATGTATGGAAAGACCAACATGTACATGGATGCCCATGAAACTGTCTTAAATTTGACATGGCAAAGCACACAATCAGACAAGGCTAGTAAAACTGTTGCCAGAGCGTAAGCAATTATATTCAACTGATTCAGAATGCCTGTTCATTTGAAGTATTTCCATGGTATACACAATGAGCTGAATTTAGCTCAATCACTGAGTGTAATGGGGTACTCCTATACGATTGCACTGCCCGGCTCACAAATGACAGTCAATTGGTCAGTAAGCCAGCCAGTGAGTCAGTCAATCAGGTTAAAAGAGGCCAACAGTCTGGCCCTTTTAGGACCAGCAAAAGTATCCCGTCCAGCATTCGGAGCTAGTTATCAAAACAGAACAAGAGAGAGAACAAGAACAAGAAAATATAACTTACCGATACGAACTTCGTCTGGTTGTCTTTCTTCGGCAGTTTGGACGGTGAATATTAGAAACAGCACGGTAACAGCTCCTACCACTACGTTCCTCTTCATACTAATTCTTTCCATTTTTGGGGTGTCACTGTTAACAGCTTCTTAACAAAGTCGGGCAACCGCAGTTGAAGACTAATCCTCTCAAAGGGGCACACTTTTCTGATCTTCACGTCAGCGCAGACGGCAGCGGGTATAGATCCACAGTCGAGTAAAATTGATTCCAGTTTCTGGTGCGTCTGGTGGTAGAAACAACCAACACAACACTGACGTTTCTTTCTTGACTAATTCCCAGAGTTTGCCCAGTTGTCAAGGCTACTTCCCAGCGCAAGGCCGTTCGTTGAATCAGATCAGCTCTGAATTAAATCCCCCCTAGAAACCTATTCAAAAGAGAGAAATAACAAATTGTATTTTCCACTGGAATTGTATTTACACATAACCAATTGTACAGATGCGCTCCGCTGGCCACGACGGTTTCGCACGTAATGACAGCATCGCTCGAACAACGGAACAACTGTCCCGTTGCCTTTTTTTTCCACGCATGGCAGGCGTATACGGGGACCCGCGCTGACGTCACGGTCACGTGACTTCACAGGCACGCAGTGATAAAAAAAATCGTCAGACCGTTTAGAGATAAAGAAGCAGAGGATGTATATACACAAGCTGTATGAGGCAACCAAAACTGCAGGGTGAAATAACAGAAAGGGCCTGGGATTATTTTTGTAATGGCGTATATCTATCATCTGCGTTCACTCAATAGTTATCTGTTCTGGTGTCGGTTAAAAAGTGCACATAGCGCAGCTATGAAGGCTGTGCTTTCCGCTTTAAATGGGGGTAGAAGTGAGGCTGAATTATCGGGGGATAATGGCACTTTTAACGGCAAGCCTTCTGAAGTTGGGTGTGGAAGAGACAAGAGCCTAATACATTCAAGAGATACGGAGGGAATTGTTGATAGCAAAAATGGTTATTGACATAATATCTATAGTTTTTTTGAATAGGAGTGAAGGCATCATAGTAAATCACAGCTTCTGTATATGCACACGTGTACTGAGAAAACAAAATGGTCCACACAGAACTCTTTCAAACATATACTCAAGAGATTCCGATGTTGTAAAAAATATGGCCAATTTAAACCGCCCTCTCTCGACACCAATTAATTTATTTTATCAATACACAATACTGGTCCTGTAAAATGATCTTCAGAACATCTGAAGGTGTAGGCCTACTATATTTTGTCAAGTGAGATTTAAATCATGTGATTATCAGGTAAAATCTGAATTTAAAATCCTGTTTTAAAACACTTATGGTAGTTCTTAAAAAAAAAAAATGGGGGGGGTTGACTCGGACAGTTGTTTTGTTATCTGCATAATTTGACGTTCTCTGAGAAAATTTGGTTTTTGCCCTACAAATACAGAAACATCATGGGGATGACTCAGAGAGAGTGTTGTAACATGGACACTGATTACTGTATCATTACGTCTGAATAATGCAAGAAGTACACGAGCATGCGGGTAGCTTCTAAGGCAGAGACAATGTCCGGGGCAGGCGCGAGAATGATAGTATTACGACCCGAGAGACTCGCCGTGTGAGCCGGGCAGCGCCTCGCCGACGACCCGGGGCCGTGATTGTAGGTCAGGCTATATCCCTTCTAACACATCCGGCTGTAGACCTTATTCGTAGCAGCCATCTTAGATGGCAATGTGTTCTTCCTGGGTATGCACGACTGAACCTTTTGCGCACTCGCTGTTGCTGATTTACAAAAACAATGGATGTCCTCTAAGATGGCCGTTACGCATGTGGTCAATAACCGTGGAACTCCATGCTAAATGAAACACCTTCAACTCATCTCCATTATAATCAAGCATCATTTAGATTGAAAGTGGAATGTCAAGGCTGTTTATCTGATGCGGGTCTTTATTAAGCGTGTAGGCCTACATTTGTGTCGACAACTGGGAAGGACGAAGATGGATACATTTTCAAACTCCTCATACTTTACGATCATTCCCGTTCACCAAGAAGCAGAGCAAAGATGGTCCGGAGTGCACAACGTTCTGTTCAATTGATTCGGAATAATTCATGCAACTAGACTACACCTGCGCCAACTGTAGCCCTTTCAATGGCGTTATGGGGTAATCCTATACGATAGCACTGCCCGGCTCAAAAGTGACTGGCGGTGAGTCAGTGGGATAGGTACAAAGAGGACATTACAGGGTGAGTAAAAAAAAAAACCAAATGGAAGGACCCATTTTTTTTTAATGAAGCTATGCATGTAGCACTTTCAAAATCTAGGATATGAAAGCTCAATTCATAAAAAAACTGATTATCATTATTACTGAATTGTTGCTAGAACATTGCCCCCAAAAAAGGACTAATATTAAAAATGAGTTGTAACTTCAGATTCGATCAAATGACATGACATTCGAGTCTCATACAAAGAAAGTAACCTATGGAAACACAAAACAACTTTCGTAAATAATGAACCTGTTCGTCATCACTTTTAAAAATAGACCTAGACGTGTATGATGGACGACATTGACATTTGCGAAGTAGCGAGAAGGTGCAAACGCAACGCGACATCTGAGTTGATTTATTTCTTCTTCATTTTCTGGAGAATGTTCGGGTCTAATCAAAACCCGACTGGACTCTCAGTCGACAAGACATGCTATTCAGTGATGTAGTCTCGCGCCAAGACTGGAGTTTCATTTTATAACCCTGACACAGCCGATCTGTGGCAAGCGAGCTCGCTATCAACATGAGATGAATCCAAGCCAGACTTGGCAATATTGGCAGCGCTACCCAGGAAATCACCCGAGCATACCTCACGCGCGCTGTATTCAAGCTAACGCATGCACGTGAGGTGTGCTCCGAATTTTCTGGATAGCGCTGCCAATATTGCCGAGACTGGATTGATCCATCTTGTTGATAGAAACCTCCACCACCGCGGCAACTTAACCGTGCTTGTCGCGGGACTGGCAGCAAATTAGGGGATACAAATAAAGCCTTGCTCCAAGACTAACTGAAACATTAATCGTCAGATCTGAAACTGTTGAAATTTTGCTTTGGAGAGCCAGGAAACATTTCCAATGATCAAACCCAACCTGGCTTTCCCACTGGGGAGTCCGGTTGGCGTAGCGGTTCTTTCCTCGCCTTCCGCCGCTGTGACACGGGTTCGATTCCCACCTGTGCCAATATGTGAATGGGGTTTTCAGTCCCTGCCTGATTCCGTGGGTTTTCCACAGAATATTCCTCTGGGGTTTTCCTCCCACATCTTAAACTGTAACTTCTTCACATTGTCTTCTCTTTACTGCATGGGCCCCATGGGAGACCAGTGGATTCCATTGAAATGGCCCAGTCAAAATAAGAATAAAAAAATGTCAGCCAGCAAGAGATGCAAGGATGCTAATTTTCAAATAAAAAACTATTGCATAATTACAATTTCCACTTAGAGAAAAAAAAGACAGTATCTCCATTAATTGTGGGTATTTCCATCCGTATCACAGTGCATCTAGCATCTGCAAGTAAATTTTCTAAATAAAATATTTATTTAACAATATTAATTGACACCCAATTTGGATTGAGATTCTTTAGCAGAAGAAATGGTCCGACCTAGAAAGCCTATTTGATTATAAAAGCCATACGGCCATCATGCAACCTCGCTCAATTAGACATCTATAATCGGATCGAATCAACTGGGGAAAAATCTACCAGAGTTGTTTTAAGTATTCCCGTTTTCTGGGAACGGACCATCATCTCTGCGTAATATATATTACGTATCAGCAACTGCAGCTCGAGTGTTTTTAATTTTCTGAAGAGCAAGGGCGACCCCTCTCGCTTGATTGGTTCGCTAAACAAATCTATAAACAATGGCCAGGGATGGCTAGAGAGGCGAGGGTTGTTTTAATAAGGCCTAACCGAATGATAATCCGTATGAATCATTATACAGATTGAATATAGATAGAGTGGGAAATGAGTTCGCGTGTTTGGAGGCTGTTTGAAACACGTCAAAGACACAAGAAAAGTACAAGTATTTCAGGGGCGGATGTAGCTTTAAGGAAACGCATGGAGACGGGTGGGTGGGGTGGGGTGGGGTGGGGGGGGGATATTTGAGTGCCCCTGCTATAGGGGGTCCAGGGCATGCCCCCTCCTCCATTCTATGGCAATTAAAAAAACAATTTAGGAACTTTGAGTAACTTCACCCATTTCCAAACATCTGGGTCCGATACAGATGCAAATCGATTCCGAGATGTTCATGTGTGTTCCAACAGTCATCTGGAGCAATGAGAATGTTGGTGAATCGGAGAAGTTTCAATTAACGTCCACGAAACGCGGACGGCAGCAAATTGCTCCGGAGGGCACTTGTCCGTTTCGAGGTTCGCATAAAAGGAGTGGATCCGAACGGCGCCCTGTACAAACCCTTGAAATGTCCAATTTCGAGAGCCAAACACACATTTGCTCGAATCTGCTCATCAAGCCTCGCAAATTACTGAAAGTCAAATACGGTCCAACTCTGCTGGTTGGATGGAAGCGAGTGGAAATTGAAGAAGGGGAAAAAATCTGGGTGACATTAATGTCCATTTCCGGTGCGAGCGTGTTTCGAGGGTTCTCGGCTGCGACGCTAGACGGTTAGGCCTAATTGAAGACGAGGAGTTGCGGGATAGAACAGAAATGGTCGTGGAACTTGGTACTTCGAACCGGGAAAATGACTCTGAGTGAATTAATTTGTCGTAGGCGGTGTAATTACAGCCCCACTGCTTGCAATACAAAAAAGAACATGAACTGCTATTCAAGTAGTTAACAAATACGGTGACATTATCGACCTCTCGACACTAGTTGACTGCTGTGATGTGGGGCAGCACATACTTTTTTATTTTTACGTCCGTGGACGCAGACCACTCAAGGCAAAATGGATTACATTCACTGTGTGGACTTCCGAACAAAAGATGTCCACATAAACCAGGTATCAGCGACGTTGTGTGGACTTGCCCACGTCCACACAAGATTTTCCCCTCTCTGGAAAACAGGTTTAGAGGCATTTTGGGGTTAGGTTTATCCGTGGCAAAATGAGAAGAAACACTAAACGGAATCATAGAAAAAAAATGGGTTGAAAGAGTTTTCACAGTGTGAGTAAAATGATTTTTTTCCCCAGGTTTTTCTTAACTACACGAAAACAAAAGAATGTCCACACTATGTAACGTAAACATTTCCGTCATGAAGAGGAAAATAAATGCGGTTTTGAATTGAGATTGAAGTAATAACCTTTGATATCTGTGAGCCGTTCTGCTTGAAAGAAACCGTTATGTCTCTGTGTACTTACGTGAGGAGCGTCGAATACATCTGACGCGCTGCGCAGGCACTGCGCCTTTGTGACAAACAGCATTTGCATGAAGCAGTGTTATGACACATTGTTACACACGCCACAACAGTACATTCAATGAACTGGCATCGCTTTAATAACAACATGAATCACATTTGAAAACCATTCTCCATCCAGGTCTTTCAATTGTGCCT